AGAACACTAAAACAATAAATTATAACCTTAAATCATCGTTTTAAGTTATTTAAAACTGTATTAGAAGCAAAATTTTGTGTTTCTGGAAACAATAATTTTATTCAATCTTTCGTGGACTGTAACGATTTTTAACCAATTTAAAGAAGAGGAGCCTGACTTCCAGACTACTCTGCTGAGGATTTTGTATAAATACAAAATCTTCATTAAAAATATGCAAAGATTACGAAAGAATAGTGAATGTAGGGAACGGTTTGATGCTATTTTTTATATTTGGCTTGAGACTGTAATAGTCGTTTGGAAATTTAGGCAATAATATTTCATTTTGTAAAAATTCTAGAATAGATAAAACAAGATGCAGAAATATATTACTTCATAACGCAATAATTGTTCCAGATACTATACACTATCTCTGCTCAACTTTAGTAATCGTAAAATTGCGACTTGTAAAGATGACCAGAAAAGAAGTAATTACGAAGAAAAGTATTTAATATATTATAAAATGTAACGAAAAATTGCAAGTTTTCACATCAACATTTTCTGAAGGCTTACGCTACTATACGATCGACAGAAGGCTGATTCTCCGGAACTTCTTTTTGAAGCCATTCTTCTAAACCGGGTATTGTATGAGCTCCTTTAAAGTATCGCTCGTGAAATTCAATAGCTTTACCTTTTTTTAGAAGAACTGCAAGTGCCTTTTTCTCCCTGGGTAAACTAAAATTTTTCAGTAACTGCTTTATTGATTTAGCAGCGAAAGAATATTTGAAGTCTGCCAGTATGCAGTTAAAGTTAAAATTTCTGTAAAATAATAGAAGCTTTCTTAATAAGCTGATGCAAAAACAAACTCTTTAATTGAATCATCCACTTCGAATATTCTAAAAACCAGCGCTGTTTTTGGATTTTTTTTTGTTTCGATCTCAGCTACGGTAATCATCTGCTGTTCAAAATGCTTTGAGAATATAAACTCATAATCGGCCAGTAGTATATATTTTGTCGTAGCCATCTAAACAGTGAGCAACAACTTAGCAAGTGCAAAAAAATTGTGTTTTATGTAATGTACGTTGAACGCTATCGATCACAGAGAAGTAGTTGAGCAAAAGACTCTATTCTAGTGAACTATGGAACTCATCTCAGCTTAACAGGCTTATTCTGTAGAAGTTGCTGAGGAAGATAAAGCGAGAAAGTAAAGGAGAGATGGCACAATTGAAAGATAGGAAAATCAAAGCGGAGTTTCTTTCACTTCTCTTCTTTCCTCTCTACTACTACAAGAAATAAAAATGACGAAAAATTGTATGTTCAGCAGAGTCGACTGCCAGTCTACCCGCCATAATTCCTAGGTAGAAAATAAATTTTAATTAATTTTTTGTACTGCTGCTTTGTTATTCTATTTCAAATGCGGATGAAGTCATTCTGTTAAGATTCGCTGAATCATTTTTTGCCTCAATTTTCAGAGCCACATTTAAATTATCTTCTTGAGATTTTCAAGTTTACAGCAATTCAGGAACGCTGTTTTATTCCTTTTCCAATTTCTTTTCGAAATATCTAATCTGAAAAAAAAAA